CACCGATGGATGACCGGCCATAACTTGACTGAGTGGGTGGGGTCTACGCTCACGTGCGGCACCAGTGATATGCAGAACATGAACACCACTGCACTCACGTATAGTGTGGTGTAGAATAGGTTCACTACTCGAGTGAAACCATTTGTCGGCAAAATAAGGCATCTGTTGGCGAGACATGTGTTGTCATTGTTTTAGTTTTAAAAATAACAAAACTATTGCAACAAAACAATAGCAGCCTTTCGATACAGACCTGGAAAACGCTTTCAATATATTGGAGACCAGAGAGAGTGTGGCCAACGATATGGAGATGGGAAGCGCCCAAAGGATAAATTGATTCAATTCATTGTTATTGAAGTTTACGCTTATAGATAGGGTGCCGGCGTTCCAGTTAATGTTAAACAAATGAATGGTCCAATAGATCAGTGAGAAGTATATGAAATAAGTGATCACTTTTGTCATCAGTTTAGGCATTAAAAACTTGGGCTTTAGTTCAGTGTTGGACGCAGTACTCGAGTGACTCTTGAGGTGCGAGTCGTTTAGTATTGAAAGGCAGAGAACAGTAGTCAAGATATTGAAGAAATTGTAATTTCCGGTCAAAATGATTGCCAATTGAAAGATCACCTAATATTTCAAACAAAACCATTAGTTTAACCATTAAATGGCATATCAATGGATAACTCACTTGCATTACAAACGCAAAAATTCTTAGATTCTTGATTGGGATGAAGAACAGAAAAGGAACCACTATTTCGATGACATAAGTCATGACAACTGATAACTTGAGTAAAGGGGAGGGGAAGTGGTGGACAAACCACGCGATAGGAGTGGGAATGCATTGAGACTCAAAGTGTATGTCCAGTGCCGTGAGCCCCCACCACGTGGGACAACCACTGGTCAGCTTAACCACACCCGACGCGAACATCAGTCGGAACAGTAGCCACCGGACCAACCAAAAGGTGAGTCCAGTGTGTGGACCCGACTCCACCAGGAATGGTAGCCTTAACGGGGCTGTGAGGGCAGTGAGTAGGCCGACCTCCAGCAAGAGAGTGTCCCATTGGAACCACATAAACGTCTGGCCCACCTGTCCATCACACACACCATCATTAGTACAACCCTTTCATGGATTCAATACCACACCTGATATATAGAGAAGTAGAGCACAAGCGACAGGGAATACCACCAAAAGTCACGGAACGACTTCAGCACCAACTGGAGGAATGAGACAACAATTCCCATCAACGCTATCACCTCCAGAGCTGAGGTCAATGACAGGCCAATGGTTGGGCCCAACCATACGAGAGACGGCACTTGTCTGAAGGCGTCCACCAGTGCTGTCGACCCCCTCTTATCCAACTGTGCAAAGGCTCGCACCGGCAGTACGCCATCGTCACCATAAAGACCTGTTACCAGACATGTCGTGTCATTACAAGAGGTGGTCATCAGGTGTTGTGTCAGTCAATGATTACCCGGTATTTGGAGATAAATGGATGAGAAGGCGAACAAATAGACGGCCGAAACGGCCCACAGATAGTAATTGTGGACACGATTTATGCCACAAATGTTTGCGTCG